GACCCAGTCCCCCTCTCCTCCCCCCAGGACAAGGGCAGGGTGCAGAAGGAAAGAGGCCCTTTTACGCCTCGTCTCTTTGCATTACATTCATTAATAAGTCCCGAGCCGCTTTCGGGTGCAAGAGATCTTCCAGATAGGGGTCATTCACTAATTTCGTTCTTAGCCTAATAACTAAGAGTTCAGTCTTAATGTTCAATACTACAGTAGCTGTTAATTACGCTGAAATATGTTAAGATATTGTTTCCAACAAGATGAACATAAAAAAAGACTTCTATAATAACTCAATACCCGAAAACAAGTGTGAGTTATCAAGAAAAAAATTAACAGTCGTCATCTAACTGTTTTTCTCTTTAACCACGCATTTTTATTTTTTAGACCTCTTAAATAAGAATATTATATTTTTTTCACGTGTTTAAGAATTGAAAATTATTTAAGAGACACTAAAGAATAATACAAACATAAAGATATTTAAGCTGCTATGAATGTCGGCCGTTAAATCAGTTATATTTTAAACGACTTCGAAATATATCATTGACTCCAACAATTGAACCACACGTGTAAGGAACAAAACCTAATAATTCATTTTTATCGTAATACAATTGTGGAATGAACGAGAGAAAAAAAATCTTCTCTGCCTGGAGGTTATCTAGGGAAGGGGGGGGGGCAATGTGCAATAAAAATTCTGTGGGAATGGAATTTCTTGTGTGCTTCTCCTGCTTTGGTTTTTGAAGTAAACGACGTTTTAAGCTATATACAGAGGCCAAGGTCAAACCAAAAGCAGTTTGTGGGAAATTCTAGATATCTTAACTAACATGGAATAAAAACATTTTACACATATAAATGAAAACTTAAATTGTTCATGTCAAATTACAATTGAGTAAGAAGTTATCTGACAGGTCAAAGTTAGTGTTTTCTTTTAAACACGCGTATGTTTGAAACATAAATTGTGCGATTTCGGCTGGCGCTGTTACACATTACCTGACATATTCAGTTTCGTAAACAGCATAGAAACAACTTACACTCACCCACGCGTTACGTGACAGTAAATATTATGGCAAAAAATAGTGCTACTTCATTACCAAATACTACTCTTTTATTTGTAATTTTGTGACATGTTGAAATCATATAATAATTTGGTATAATTAGTTAAATAAGTATTGTTTAATGGACAATGGCTATTAACAAGAGAATCACTATAAGCCCAGTTTGCTACTTAACTTACAGGGTTAATCTGGTCCCTCTCTTAATCTTTAAACAAGTCCATCAAAAAACCCAGAAAGTTGAAAATGGACGAAACGAAGAAAATTTTATTTGATAAAAAAAACAGTATTCCAAAAAAATTGTAAACAACCCTGTTATACGTATAACACAAGTTACTGACTTGTGATTTAATACGAGTAAATAAAGTTTTATATTTCAGTTTAAAAAGTTCATTTGTTACGTTTTATGTGCCACGGTACACAAATGTTATTAAGCCTAAGCGTTGACGAAATTGATCTTTCTTTGCAGTTATAAATCCATGCTTTTATTTAGATGTTTTAAATAGTTGTAGCATATATTCGTACTAGAACGAACACATTCAACGCCAAGCAGTGCACTAAGGTGTCGTATACATTTTCTTCGGTAATACTAGAACTTCCGCATCTTTTCTTTTTCCTAGAAATTACACCTTAAAACAGAGTTGTACGAACGAGATATTTATGCAACACAAATAAGGTACGAAAATGATATAACGTATCGCGAAATCTAAGTGTGGTCCAATTGTTTCAAAACAAGCAAGCGCCCCCTTACAATCACGGCAGCTTTCTCAGGTCGCGAACTTTCCAGTGTCCCCACATAAGATTTCACACTGTACCCATTTCCAAGCCTTAGAAGTGGTTTACTGTAAACAACTATGGCCCATATTATTCTAAATACTACAGTACCTGCTGGTTTAGGCAAGAAGGCATCATTATCACGTGCACAACCTGAGTATTTAATTACCAATATTTTTATTCAAGCGTGACTATACAAGCATCCGAGGTACTGAGACTTACAAATAATACTCGATGCCATACACAACTATGAGACGCACTGTTCGGTTGTGAAGTTAAGAAATACAGAGTTAACTGGTCACACCTAGTTTTGACCTAAACAAACCGCTGGTAAGCCAATTGGAGCGGTATGTAAGAAATTGTTTTATTTTTACCAAGAAGCTGAATAATCAGATTGTGTTCGTGAATCATTGGGTTAGAAATTTCTATAAAATCTGAGTTTTTGCCTGTTAAAAGACTCATGAAATAGAAAATATAAAAAAATGAGTGAAATTACCAATTTTCTGTGTGAAATATATAGGGAACCCCAGACTTAATTAGTAGGATTAATTGTAATATTGATTATATTTTTGATTAAGGTTTTTGTGTTATTTGGGATTCTATAATGAACAAAGTTATGGGTCCACAATCAATTTGATGTATAAACAATTTAAAAAAATCGACGAGAGTTCATATGTAACCTAAGGACAATTCTCGGGTTCTATGAAGGCTAGGTTTCAACAACATATTAAAAAAAAGTTTGATGTAATACAAAGACCAATCTCTGTATATATCGGGGTTCAAATGTCAGTGAATTTTCATAAAACAGGTCTCAGAGTGACTACTATAACACTAGTATTCTCAGGAAAAGAAGGGATAGCAACAGCAATACTGTGTTTATGGGAAAGAAAGTCAGAAAATAATGATACGTGTTTTTACTTAAGCCATAATTTCATGTACACAAGTGTAGGTTTGAGGTTTGATGAGTTTCTATTTACTACACGACTGATTACTATTTACATGAGATAGGGTTTACGTTCTAGTGGGTCACTATTGGTGGTTCTTTGGTCTGGCTTCAAAATTCTTTACAAGCACACGAAGATGATTTAAACTACTTATATTTATATATGAATTGCATGACCCGAAATCAGTGCATACATTTCCCATTTAAGTTCAAAATAACACTACTGTGGTAAGATACAACAACAACAAAAAAACCTAGTCACATAAAAACGAAAAGAAATTGTGACTAAGTCTGTGAAAACAAAAACAATTTTATGATCTTGACAACTGACCATTCCGACATGGAATTGTTTATTAAAGAAAATATCCCAGATTAAATAACACAACAAGCTCAATTGAACTAAATCTTTTTAACATATGTTCTAACCCTTGTGTTTAAATATGTAAGTATTCCTCGTGTAATTCTCCTTTTAGTTTTGCAACATTTATGACTGAGTTGTTGCCCATAGATCTTCTTCTTGCTTTTATCTCTACTTCAGTTTTATGATTAAAATATAATATATATACGTATTCTGCAATCATTTCGTTGTATCTGGGATTAGTCAGTTTTGGTTAAATGAATTTCTAGCTTAATTAATGAAAGGTGATTTTTCATTCTGGTTGCGATGGCGAATTCAAATTCCCGCCACTAGCCAACAAAAGCTCAAACGGACAGGAAGCACAACCGCTGTTCCCTCAGACAACGCTCTTTGTGTGGCTTACCATGCAGCTTTCCAAACGTACTTAGCTCTGTCTGTTCATCAACACCAAATAAAGCTTATCAATATGTTCTGAAACTGACTTAAAACACTGCTAGTTTATAAACCTGGGCGGGTGTGAAATTAATGTGGAAAACATTAATTTGTTAAGTTTTTGAAATGTTTGACAGAATGAAAGTATCAATTTAATCCTTTAGAACATCCACTGATGGCAGTGAAAAATGTAAAAAAATTCGACAATTACAAAACGTGAGTGAGAAATACAAAGTCAATTTTGAAACAAAGATACATTAGAAAGACATATGTATATACATATATAAAGACACTTTCACGAAATAAAAAGATGGCTACCAAAAGTGAAATTATAACATTACACTAGTGTAACTTACATGAAAATATATGTATCGTTGTGCTTGTTTGACATTTTATAATTGATAAACAATTTCAGAGTAGGTGGGACTCGAACCCAGATCGTCAGAGTGGCAAGCAAGTCTAAAGAAGTTACGTTAACTCTTTGATTTAACGGCCTGTGTTCAAATCAGACCCAATTAGAAAATAGAAATAATAACACTTCATAGGATCATTACACCGTAAAAGAAATACGATATAATGTACCTTTCTGATGATTTGTGCTTTAGTTACTAACAGGGAGTGTTTTCGCAAATACAAACAGGATGTTATTGTAGCTTTCGTTGGTTATTTAACCATTCTGACATTAAAGTTATTATGCCATGAATACAAAAACACACACGTCTTCATGATCTCTTAAAGATATATACTTATACTTTTATGATGAAAGCTACTGTAGGATAAAAAAAAAGAGATTGAATGTTATTATACCTTTCAGAAAATATGAGAGAAAAACAAAATTCTTAAATCAATACATAAGTAAATTACAAAAAAATGTGATCTTTTATTTAAGCTGTTAAATAACTCAAAACGTTTTCCAACGAAATTACTAAACGCGAAACGCAATCATAAAAAGCCATTTCGCTTTTACACTTACACGTGATGTGGTATATTATGACACCATCGCCCCGCTCTCGTATTGTTTTTAAAACGCGATTATCCGAGACATTTTTAAGCAAGATCGTGCTACGACGAGTTTTAAAGAGTCACGACTGGAATAAATACCTTTGTCGACTATTTGCAAATGCAAAGAACGTTTAGTGTTGGGGGAGTGGAAAAATTAACACATTATAGCATGCTATCAATTACTAAATTTAAAACTATCTTACGAGTCTTTAAGGCTTCAGTTTTTATTCTGCCATAATACGAGTTATATTGAACTGTATGAAAGTTTAACGCTCGTTCTCATTCTAACTTCTAAATCTAATACCACGAAACGTAACAAACTTTGTAAATTTTCCGTAATAATTTTGCCAAAAAGAAACGTTGTGAGAAAAGTTTTGAACTTCTACTACTAGAATAACTGATGTTACTTCTATATTATTAACTTTAATATTACTTTTAAAATATAACTTACGTGGAATCACGTTCTTCATTGATAAACCAGCGTTTTCTTCGGTGCTGCTTAAGCCTAAACCATTAAGTTCGTCTTGTTTCAGAACAGAATACTGATAAACATACAGGTACAGTACAGATGATTCTTGTTACTGTTGCAGTTCTAATTAACTGATTGTTCACTAACACCCGAAACGTATAGTATAACGTCAAAATATCTGTTGTTTCAGGCCCGATTCATCGCAGTAGGTGTTGAAACTATGCACGTGCGCCTTCAGTCACGGGGAAAAAGCAAACAGTTGTGTCCGACCACTACGAGATCGGGTTCACGTTTCGCGTCAGGGCTGCATACGGAAGGGCGTCGCTCCCCCAACAGATGTTTCTCTACTCCTTGACGGATGGCTTCAGCCTGAGGACAGCCTTGACTGACAATAGCGATGGCCAATTGGGATGGCCGGGGCGTAACAAGCTCACCTCTGAGCAATCACTGCTCTTCATTGCTAAGTTGGTAACTGATCTACGCTAATATATCTCGTTCCAAAAACGTTCTAGGCCTTACACCGCTTTGTCGAAGCAGATTTAACGCGTAGTGTTTTCTGTCCTTGAGTTGCTTGTGGTTCTACTGAGACAGCTTTATTGAGTGATAATCATTGTTTCAGAAGTTTAGCTTTCCTCATGTTGGTTTCAGAATGTCAAATGAAACGCAGAAAATCCTTTGTATAGCTCTACGTCACCAATTTTCTCGGAAGTTTGATTCAGTGTCAGAAAAACTTAGTACATGATTCAGCCATTTATTACACAACAACACATTAGCCCTTAAAACTTATGAACCACTACTTACAACCGATGCGTGTTACTACATAGTTAAGCCTACTCCAAAGCCGAAAAGGGGGTAGCAGTAAGGGGAGCCCCAAGCAAGCATTGAATGATTCTGAAGAGACGTTACCTAGCAAGCGGACAGAGCACAAGTTATCGAGCACAAGGCCACAGAAAGCGGAAAAAGAACTGGAATTTCTCATTCTTACGGAGAGGGGTGGAAAGTATGATGACAAATTAGCTTTGTAGCACTCGATCGAAGAAACGCACACACTCTCAGGACATACTGAAACTACACACAAGTTTTGTATAAGTAACTCTTTACACAACGCAAAAATGAGGATATCTGTATCGGCTTCTAACATTAAGTTATGAAACCTTTGTTTACCCAGTGATTCCATGTATTGCAAAATAAAAACAAGTGACTTTGGGTGTTGCCATCACAATAGTTACATAAAAGTTTCAAGATCACAATAAACATTGTGTCACAACGTTTAGACAAAAAAAAAAATTAACGAGTATTTGCAACCAGAGATGAATTTGAAGGTCTGAGAACAAAGAACAATCCACTGATATAAGTACAGCGCTCTTTTTTATCTCAAAATTTATGATGCTCTTCAAGAGTAACAACAGCAACGCTGTAAAAGCGTGGACGCTTATTATTCTACCATGTGATATTCACCGTTTCGGAGTACCTTCGAGCCAGTGAAAGGCATAAAACTTCATAAATTTCTTCTGTTTTGGTTTAAATATCTTTGAAATATTTCATATAACTACTTTAAAAGGTCCGTAAAATTAAATGGATTATAAGATGGGAAGGAGAAAAACAGGAACAGTTAAGTAATTTTGTACATATTGATTTTCAAAACATTCACCCATCCACCCCCAGTGGCTCTCAACGGTAAGCTGCAGGGCTTATAACACAAATTTGGGTTTCGATTATTTAGTTTTTAGCACATGAATTTGTCGAAAATATCATACTGTTTTTAATAAACACAATTGTTTTTAAATATTTATGTAGCCAATCTATTGACATATGGTTCTTTTGCCATTTAAGATGTAACGAATTTGTTGTTATACATTTATTTTAATGCCAACGTTTGTTTGGATTGAATTTATTCTTAAAAACATGCATAGATTGTAGTGTGAGATATATATTGCGAAACTCCAACCTATTCTCCAAAGTTGTAGAAGATTCGAAAGTAAGAATCAACAATATATCTATATACGTAAAGGTTTAAGTACAGCTCACTACTGTTATGTAATCCGAATTTTCTAGAAAATCTTCCCACGCCTATAAATATAACCAACGCGACACGCCAAAAACGAGTATCTATTATTAGTTCGCTATAGTCAGTGCGCTATAAACTTCAAAGCTATAACTGTGATTTTTTATAACGCTTATCAATCGGAAAAGTTAAGATATTTGACCAGGAATATTTATAAATTTCGAACATTACAATTCGTTTGACTTCAGTGGATTCTCATCGGACATTAATATTTTTACGAGAACATTAACTAACTTCAAAGGTGGAAAACTTAGGGTGTGTGGCCAAGGACAAAGCTAGCTAGCTTCCCGGCGAATCGTACTTACATCAACTCGTAATTGACTCGCTCATAGCAAACCCTCGATAACATATCAGGAACTAGAAAGAATATTTTATATTGTTTGTAAGTTTGTGAAACTTTTGTTTATAAATCTTTGTTTGTCGTAACTGTTTGTAATAATTGTTATTGTAAATTGTACTGTTGTCTGTATATTAAAACGTATGTGTTAAAAACGAAAACGTATCAATCTTGTTGGCAAATATTGTAAATTAACTAATATATCGGCATATATTTAAATATTAAATCCAAAGTACAATTTAACTACTAAATTTAAATTATCAGTTAACTCGGCTTCGGACTATTTGAAATTCTAATATATAACAAACATCATTGTATTTTAAAATGCCTTGTTAGCAGAAACGCGTAAAATCGTGGAATACGAACACAAACATATCTGCGCAAGAAAATTACAAAATACTGTATGGAATATATATATACACACACACACACACTTCGATCTCTCCCGTGAAAATTTTCTAATTTCTAAATTGTCATCAGATTGTTGCTAACAAAGACAAGGTACAATTGTTTCGTGTGATATGGACCGATATCTATAAAGTCTAAAATAAAAATCATTTTTCGTGGTACATAGTATACTTACTACATCACAATTTTCAGTTTTGACAAGCTGTAGCCAAGTGGCTGAGTTCACTTTTTTCAGATAGTAGTATCGGAAAATTCGGTTTTCGAAATACTTCAACGGTAATTGCACCAGTTTCTTTATTATCACTCTATCCTAATTTTAAGATAATTTCTTTTAATCGTAAATTAAACGACTCCACCTGCATCGAATTGCATATTTTCGTAAAATAACTGAACGAAACGTTGCATTTAACAAGCATTGTGATCATTCTTTGTTGAACAACGCCTTTTTAAAAACAAATTACATCAATTTAGCGTTATTAACCTGGGTGAGCATGACTGCTCTTGGGCCAAAATCCAGTTATGCCCAAATATGACAATTAGTGTTAAAAATAAAACAAACACTTTAACATAAGAAATCAAGAAAAACAAATATATATATAAGATAAAATAACGTAAAAATTGTTACTGATGTACAAAATGTAACAAATCTCATATTTATCAAAAAGTTGAGAAATTTTTCAAATACAGTAACTACAAGAAAACTCAAGCTTGAGCTAACAAAAGTTAGCTAATAACAGGAACGAATGAAATAACGTAACTTTTGCGATTAACGATTAAACTCGCTGATTTAGTGTTTTTCTAATCCTATATGATAGGAAAAAATCAGTCAAACTCAATACGTGCAACAGATAAAATAGTTTGCTACTATTTTTTATTATTTGATTTAAGTTGCAATTCTTGTATTATGTAGTGAGAAATATTTTCTGAAAAAAGTTAGCTTATTCGTCTGAATCAATTAGTGATAAAAAAGAAATACTAAATGAATTTGATAGGTCAGAATAAAGTGCTGAAATAAAAGTATTCAAATAAGTAGTATGCTGAAAAGAAGAACTGTACTAGGGGACACAAACCGCAACGGGTTGACCTCCACCTTGTGTCTCTACTTTTCGTCTAAGAGAAGGTCATTGACTTTCTCAACTTCTTACCCCGAAGGTATAACTATAAATTAGTGTGTTTTAACCCTCGAATCGCGAAATGTGAGTGTATTTAAAGTATATGACTAGAGTTCAATTTACCGTACTTTAGGTAGGATAGTGTTCCAGTAGCATAGGCCTTAATAGAGTCAGGACACTTCATAATAAGTCATGTGTTTCTAGTGTGTAAATTAAGGTTCAGATACACAAAATAACCTGTTACCTTGTGTTTGGTATATTAATTCTTAACCGTTTCACTTCTTTATTTACCCTGAAAATACAATTGACATAGAGTATAATGAATCCAATAATTTATAATTGTAGCAACTTATAATAATCAAATTATCTAAATTTTTTAAAACAGTTTTACAACAAATAATTATTCTAACAATACAAGAAAACATGGGCTAGTATTAAGTATTTTGTTACTTCAGAAGGTAGTAAATAAAATTAACAGTTAAATGGGACCAGGAGAGGTTCTTCTAAAGTTTCTGGAGAGAAGTGGTGGAAAATATAAACTTACTGTGTTGCGAATAAAATATCCATTTTGAATCAAATTAAAATCTAAATTTTTTGAAAAGGCATTAAGAAGTAATGTTTAGCACAGGACTTAATCAAGATAAAAGTAAATTGTAATTAAGGCATTACTGTCTAACTTCTAGAATTTGTCAATTTTCAGTATAACTAATACGACACACGCGCGAAACGTAATGATAATGGCATACATACCTTCTCGGTTTCAACCTCCTAGTTAGTGGTCGTTTATTATAGGATGTACATGGAAGCTTCACTCTCCTGCTGAAATGGGTTTAGCTCACAGCAGCTTTGATGGCGTGCAGTGAAGTAGTAGTAACTCGGTCCTCTCTCTGATGGAAACTTTGGAAGTTTGCCGCCAGCAAATATATCTTAAATTTTCTTAAGCCTAAGATCGTAAAAGTTAATAAACCGTTAATTACTTTCTGCCTCTGAAAATAAATGATTCCAGTGAGGACTAATTTTGACCCCGGATATTTAATTAGTTTCTTATTATTAAAAATATAAATAAGCCAGGTCATTTATAACTAAAGAAATGATCATTATTTAGCAATATTCACCAAAGAAATTAACCCGATAAACCTAATAACTTCAAGAAAAAGAGGCATTTATAGAAATCAAATATATATATATACTAAACCCAGATTTACTTACCACAAAATTGGATAATTTGAAAATATAAGTGGGTTTAAATTCTCAAATAACGTCTTCGGACTTATAATGCTAGAAACCGGGTTTCGATACCCGTGGTGGACAGAGCACAGATAGCCCATTGTGACTGATTGTGTAGCTTTATGCTTAATTATAAACAAACTTAAGTAACGACAAAATATGAAACAGATTTCAAACAAAGTAGTTTATAGAGAGATATTCTCTAAGTTATTATGTTGTTTCTTCGAATTACATTTTAATGTAACGGCCAGTTTAGACAAAATGCATTAATTCATCGTAAAAAAGAAAGAAAGATTAAAACGTAGCGTTTTCGTTAGACGAAACTGACTTCAAAAGGGATAAAGGGTTTAATATGACTTACTAACACTTTTTATCCTACGTGATTTTTACTGTAACAAATATATTCATACATATATTTTCCAACAGTCTTTTATATACGCTAAACTAGCATAAAACAGTACATGCATTTTAATTATTTTAGAAGCAATCACTTCGAACAGTAAACCCACTTCTTCATACTCTTCAGAATAAACAATACTTTATCAAATAATCTGTTCCATTTGGAATTTGAAGAACCTTAAGGTTCCTCTTCCATTTAAAATTCTGAACACAATCTTTACCACCACCACCATCCTCCTAACCTCGAGATATAAACATATAACTTCGTTTAATGAAAACATCTGACTCAATCCAGTGAATCTTATAAAACGTTTTAAATAAGTGTTGTTGTTGTTTTGTTTATAGGATAAAACTAATTTTTCAAATGTATCCACTTTCTTCCTTTATTTGTCTCGTACGATTTTCTTTAAGAAATATAAATTGCAACTTCCAGTCTTCCTTTTATATGGAAAAACCAGTATGATCACATAGTATTGAACTTAATTTAAACTCCTAGATGCAGGAAACGGTTATCTATGATTGACAAATTAAAGTCTTGACTGGACAGTTGATGTTATACTTTGTGGAAGAACCCCCCCCCCCAAAAAAAAGACTCTACATATAAAACTATTTCATT